CAGAGAGCTCGGTTTAGACTGGCAAGCCTCAGAAGCTAAGTGAAAGTGAATTTTGAGGAAAGGGTTAAACTGAGTATCATCTGTGGTTTGAGTCAAAACATTAATTAATATTCCTGTCATATATATACCGCATTTTATCCATATTTTGGATGGTCTAACAGATACTATATGAGATTTGTCCAAAGGCCACCTCACTGTCTAATTAACATATAAGTAATATTTTAACACCTACAGAATTTTCAAATATATTCACTTGTATAAATAAAGTTATACGAACTTTTCAGGTCAAGCAACTGTCACTCAGTACAGATTTGACCAGTATTTATGATGAACTGAAACATATTTCTGATTAGGCATGGGTGTTCTGTTGAAATAGAAGTGCTAAATAATAATGATTATACATTTTGCAAGTGCAAATACTTGTATGTGCAAATCTGTGTTTCTGCATGCTCTAATAAGGTGTTTTTCAAATTTTGCAGGCACATTTACAGATCTCTGAAAAAATGTACATTATCAGTAGAACTCTTTTACTGAGTTCTGAAACAATTATCCTTCTTTTAAATGTTTACACACTTAAAAAATATAGTCTAATTATTTCAGATGTATAAAGTTTGCTAAATTAATGGAGTGTAATAAAAAGTTAGTACATATAAAAGTTTATAAGATATAAGCAGTTAATTGATTAAAAAGATAGCAAAATAATCTTGGAACTAGATTATCATGTATTTGTTGTGCATCATCAGGTTAAAAACTTTCAAAAGGATTACATTGAAGCCAATTAAAAAACCTAAGAAACAGGAGAAATGGATGGATCAAATAAATCTTTTTTTTGAAACTTAAAGTTTTCTTAATATTGCTCAAAAAATGCATCTATAGAAAGAAATTAGGAAGTAACTCCTTTTTCCCTTGGAAAAAAATCAACCCAATGAAAACATTTCATGTTTGCTCAAAACTTTCTTCAAAAATATTGAATGTGGTTTCTTTAAGAAAAGTGTATAGCTTTGTTACTTAAACATAAGAAGTCAAAACAGTTCCATATATTGAAGAAGAAATTTTGCAGGGGAACTTTTGTCCTGACATACTAAATTTTGTTTTATCTTACTGGCTCTGGCCACTTTCTCTGTCCCTGACATATACATACCCCTGAGATATGTATATTGCTCTTTTAATGCTTGCTAGAAGCAAAAAAACAGACGGGATTACTGATTTCTGAATGTCTGTTAATCATAAGGGACTTCGGAGAAGGGAATTTACTTCCTTGACAGCTCTTCATAGAATGAAAGTGAGTGATGTAGCTATGTTACACCTTTCGGTCAAGGCTCCACAAATTACATATTACTACTTTTTTTAAGGCCAGGAGTCAGCTTTCAGCACTGCAGACAAAAGTATGGGTCAGTTGTCTACTGATTGAAGAGAAGCTCAGTGTAGACAAAAGATGGTGTGGAAAGAGATGGTTACTTGCTGGGAGAGTAAGGTGAAAGGCCATACTGGCAGAAATATACAATGCAGTGATCTAAAGTTGAGATCATGGAGTACAATATGTGACATATCTGATTGAGCATACGCTCACCTATGCTCCTGTCTGCAGTGCCATTAGCATCCCAAATCTACCTGTGGTTTAGGGTCCTACTTAACATTTTGCATAGACCTAATAACAATTTTATGGTTGCTTAGAGCAAATCTAATGGTCCCTGAAAACTTATTTAATGTGGGGAAGGGAAACAATTGCTTGAAAACAATATTTACCCAAAAGACTAGAATGGCTCATTAGATACATTTGTATGTGGGCTTTTTCACTTTACAGTGTATTATTGAAAATAAATACAAAAATATAACAGCTCCCCTGGAACCACTTAATCCATCATGTACTTTCTCTGTACAGTTCTGTGGTTTTCTGTTGCGAAAGTATAAAAAAGCTCTGCAGTGCAAAATACAATTCTTATTAAGTGCTGCTACTGTTTCCAGCGAATCACTTCAATAAAAATAACTCAGACTTTTAGGAATGTTAGTTTTTCAAACTGTTGTAAAATTACTACAATATATTTTACACCAACCGTTTGCAGATTTGATTTTGCTCAAATTAAGCTAATGTTCGTGATATGGCAGAAATGTGGATAAGCAACAAAAAACCATTCAGAATGGGAGCATGGAGTTTGCAGCTTCTCCAAATTAATTTTAAACTTCTTAATAGATACATAAAGCAACATAATCATTGACTAAAACTGTGCTAAGCTTTTAATAGGTGCCTCTGTGAGTATGCTCAGAGAGTAACTTGTGAGCCAGGCTCTAAAGCCAACGGGTTGGTTATACTAAGTATACACCCTGCCTTATGAGATAGCTAAGAAAGCAGGGGGGGGAAAAAAAAAAAAAGATCTTTTTGCATTAATTCTATTAATCACTGATAAGAGGCTAAAAATATATAATTAGGGAATCATTTCTGAAGTTAGATATCCTGATAATTTCACAGCCTGATTTTTCCTAGATGCAGAGCACCCATAAGTCAAGTTTAGACACAGAAGTCATTCACTATTGTTATTACCAATACCAAAAATAACACAACAAGAGCGCACAAATTGAGCTATTATTCCTTTGGTGTTTGACAACAGTTTAAATTTAAGAAAACAAGTCTTAAAATACCTTACTACTTATGATGAAACATACAGGATACTCATAGAGAACAATGAAATAGTTAAAAAGATGTTGCTCATTGCTGAACACTAATGCTACATTTGATCGTGAAATTGTTAGCTTTTTGGATATTCGGTGCAAAAAAGTGCAAAGAATATTTAGTTAACTGTTACAGTACCACATTACAAAAAGTATTTTCTAGGCCACAAAGGCCACTGCTGATATAATTTATATTAAGATAAATGTATACACAAAATAGTTTTTCAATCTCCACACACACACACACATATATATATATGTATATATATATCTGTTTCTATATCAACTTCAGCAAAACCATGATGAAAATGATCTAGGCTACAGAATCTCATGATGATAACTATGATGGGAGGAAAAAACCCACAGAGGAGAACTTGTTCTATTAAAAAAATTACTCAACCAGAGCAAACAGAAGAATGAAATTCTGCAAGGCTGCTCTGTATTTATGGTGATGAAAATACAATCCTGAGCAGAGAGGATCAGTGTTCAGCATTACCAACCCTCTCTGGAAAAACTATTTCTGTCTAGACACCATGAATATCAACCTGGAACAGACATTCAAAGACTTAGGCTGGAGCCTTTTTTTAAAAAATTTGTAAAGAATGTCTGAAAGAGTTATTTATTGATATGCTTGCTTGTTTGCTGTGTTTGTAGGCATAGAAGGCAAGGTATAAAACCTGCATCCTTTTTTGCCTTAGAACACCTGTACTGTTAGGATCAGACTTCCTAACTTTCCTGAAGCAGTTAAACACTTCAAGGCATTGCTTGACTGTCTTAGTGAAAATTAGTGAAATGGAGGGACTGGATCTTCATAAATGTATTCTGTGTCAACCAGACCTAACTAACCAAGGCAGAACGATTCTTCAGAAGTCTGTCTAAACTGCCTTTTCCCTTCATAACTAGATTAATTCTCAGAAATTCAGCCATTATTGCAAACCAATCTTCCAAAGGCATTTTTGTCGTGTATGACACTTGTGTAAAAACAGTTTTGGAAAATATTATCTTCTCACTTTTCTTTATACATTACAAAGATACAAAAAGAATGACTACCTCAACATTTTTTTTAGTTGCAGTTCAGCTTTCAAAATCTCAGGCCCAATCACGAAGTCTTTGCCATGCCCTTCACAGAAAGAAAAAGAAAACCAGGAAAAAAAAAAAAAAAAAAGAAAAAAAGAAAGTAACTATCTGATTGAGGTAAACTGCAGTGTTAAAAAGAACTAAATCTGCAAAATAATATGTAGTTCTCTTCCAGTTTTTAAAGCAGCTCATTCCAATCAATATTTTTTTTTGCATCTGATGTCACTGTGTATTCTAATAACAGAGTTTACTGGTTTATAAAATTGTTACATTTCAATTTCTTTCTCCATATATTGGCAGAAAACATATCTCAAATTCATATTTACCATACAATTCTAGAGGCATCCAGCCAGGGACCAGAAACTATTCCACGTGAACTATGCACTTAGTCAAAATAACTTCAAAGAAATCTAATACTGTCATATTTAATCAAGAATCAGAAAAATGTTGCATGTAACTGCAGTTTTTGGTTACTTTTTTTGAACAGCTAATATACATTAAATCAATTCCTTTATTTCAGAGCATTCTCTCATCTGAGTTTGATCTGTGTAAAGACTAAATAAGGACTGCATGATCCCAGCAGCAAATGGGCTGCTTCAAAGGGGCTGGATGCACCTCATCAGGAGACATCTACATCTCTGTGGAGCTGCATCAACTTCCACACAACTCACTGCAGACACATTAGCTTTCCATAATGATACCCGTACATGCACTGTTCAGTGTCATCCAGAGACATCCAAGCTACCTCTTTGTCTGCCAGTGGGTAGGTGAAGCAAAGCAGCCACTGAGCACAGGCACCTGCCTGGACACACTTGCCTGGATGCTTTGCTGGACAGGCTAACAAGTTCCTGCAGGGGCAGCTGGCATCTTGATTGGTGAAAAAATATAACTGCATAGATCCAGTAGTGAGACCTGTTCCATAAAGGCTGAACTAAACCCCAGTAAAGCCAGTGGGGTCCTTCTCATCAGCTTCAGTGGCCTTTTGATCAGACCTTCCTCCCTGCCCAAGGAATGAACTGATTTTCCAAACACTCAAAACATGACAACAGTTGTTTTTTCATGCAACATTCAGTTTGAAGTGTAATCTTGACAAGTCATACAGGATTTAGTGCAATTTAGAGGAAATTTACTATATCAGCTATATATGACATTTTATCTCCCTCGAAAAAATTAGGCATTACAAGCTGCAATGGTTTTGAACTGCTTAAGGGATTTTTTTTCTGGTTTCTTTGTCTATGCAAAGATATAGATCATATCAAAACACTGCTTGGATATGATACTGGATATATGCCAGTGAGAAAACAGGTGAATGAATTTGTATGAGGAAGGATTATATTTGGCTCAAGTCAACTTTAGTCATACATTAAGAAACTATTATAAAGTGTAATATAAGACTTAGAATAGGAAAAATGTATTTTAATAAAAAAAATATGGATACAGTTCATATGCGGAAGCTGAACCTTCTGTTTATGTAGATGTGAGCTACAAGGGAGCACTGGATACTGAACACGATGAATCCACTCGTTCCCTAGGGCGTAAGCGGTGGTTTTGGCGATGAACATGATCCCTGGCTATCAAAACTGGTTGCTCGTCCAGGTAACTGCAAGAAAAGTGTTAGTTTTACAAAAGTCATCATATCTGGCTGTGCATCACACGCATGTCAGAGGATGAGACAGTCCCTCAAAGAAGAACCCAAATCACATCTCTGGATCAAAGTCTCCAGCAGAACTAATAATGGAAGAAAATTCCTAAAGTGACCTCCTAAAAATGCCTCTGACTCATTTCACAGGTGTGGGTTTATTTCACCTGTCAGGGTGGTGCCTCTGTCTCCAAATTTACATAATCCAGAGAGCCACAAATGTCTAAAAAGAGGCTTCTCTGCTGCACTGACTCACATTCCATGCCCTCACACTCTTCTTTAGGTGTTTTGCTGAAGTCTTGCTGTTGGGCTTTTTCTGCCTGTCACTGGACATGCTGTGCAGCCATGTGCTACACAGTGGGGAAACCAAATGGTCTGTGATGCCTTAGAGAGCAACTCATTTTTCTACAGAGAAACACATATCCATAGATGCTGCATTTATTTTCATGATTCTCAGAAGCACGTTAAGCGTGAGAGAGACAAAAACATTCAATATACAGAGAAGGAAAAAATTTTGCTGCTTCTTACCTCTACTAGTGGATGCCAGTGAGTTATTGGTTTACGTGGGTAAGCCAACATTTCATTCCAATGATCTCTTCCAAGCCCTTCAGCATCAATTCCTGTCCGACATACCCCAATGACCTCATTGTGCCCTACTCTGAGAATTGCAGAGAGGCAGAAATTTTTTTAAAAATAAAAATAGTTTTAATAACATCTGATGTATAATTCTGTTCACTGGTTTAGTGCAGCACAGAATACATGTACAAAGTTTTCACATTATTTATTACAGATATTAGTTTTAGTGGTTGTACAGTAATATTAAGTTCTGTAATGGTTGCATCAAAAACCTCCAGCCACTACCAGAACACTTCCAGCAGCTATAAAAATATCAATGAAGACTTAACTCTTGCCATTAAAAGGTTACAACCCAAAAGATACAAGGACAGAAAAGGACCAGAATATACCAAATGATCTAGAAGGAAAGCATGCTTAAAGTTTGTGGGAAAGTAAAGGAAAATGGTGGGGAATACACTTCCTGCTGCAAATCCTTCAGACATATTTCACACTTCTGAGCTCTGACTGCTGTGGTCATTGGAACTTCAGTAAAAACTGTGAAAGGCAAGAGGCATAGCCATAACAGGCTATACAATAATACTTCATACTCCTGGCAGTGCCATAGACTTGTTGAGGGACTCCAGAAAGTAATTTTCTGTATCTTGTCTATATGTACCTTAGAATAAAGTTTCCTAACTTCCTCTTAGCAAACACTTTGAAAGAAACAGCTGAAGAGAACTTCAAAGTGTACAAGCTGCTGTGCTCTTCTCCCCTAACAGCAACACAGTGCCCCTTTCACATCTGACTGAGAAAGTCTTCCTGACAGAAATCTGATGGCAAGGAAAAACAATCTGAATGTTCATGTTGCTAAACTGGACTTTCACTGTTTATTTGCCCTGCAATCTCAAGAGCTCATTACTTGAATGAAGCAGACTTGGCTTGGGCATGATTCTGTCAGTCACTGTCTAGTTTAACCTGCAGTCCTTGAGCCACTCTAAGCAGGAGTCCCTTCCTGTCAGTTCTTGGTGAGGACATAGATAGTTGAGGCTCAGATGTCTTATCAGTGAGGGCTGAAGCCAAAGGTTACAAAGCTTCTTTTTTGAGTCAACTGAAGAATTAATTATGACTTAATTCAATGATGTAATTAGCATCTGATTCTTTTTTAGTCATCCAAATTTTCTTTGATTTCAAACACCTGCCATTTAAATAGAAATTAGAGGTTTGAGGGCCTTTTTTGAACTGGGAGACATACCTGATTTTAAAGCTTTTACACAGTCCAGACACCAGATGCAGACAGAAATGTATGCCAAGGCTAGTGTCTCATAAGAAGATTGAACCATGTTTCTTCCTCATCACAGCTATTTACTATGCAGATAAAATGGCCTGAACTCTAAAAGGTGTGGAAGCTTTAAACCTCCTCAGGAAAAGACCCAAAGGCTTTATCTTTTGTGGCACTGAACCTAGTTGAAAGTTCAAGGAGGTGGAAAGCAGTTGCTTGCAGTGATCAGGTAACTTCTCACTGAAGGTTAATGGTCAGAAAGCAAATTGTGCTTACCGATCGTAATCCATCACTGCAATGGAGAGGCTGACCTGGTCCACATTCTCTGGAGGGATATCAAAGATGATGGCCTCGTTATAAACGGGATTGAGTGTGTTCTTCTTTGTGGTCGTTTTCCGCTTTTTCAGTCTTCGACCCTCACACATCAGTGACACTTTGACATACGGATCTGAGTAACAGATAATCAGTTGTGTGCATTTTGACTCAAAGTCATTCAAATATGTAGTGTAAGAGCAATATTTTTAGTAAGAATGTCATATTGATAGGACAAAGAATTACAAAGATTTTAGTGCTTTCAATATGTTGTCAATGCAAAGGAAAGCTATAGGCATTCTGAACGATAGCCAACACATCTGAACAGGGCCCGTCTCCATTCTCCTGCTATTTCCATTTCACAACCATGTTAAACACACAAAAACCAAGGAGTTCCTATTTGTCACCTTCCTGAATAGACTCTGCCTTGTTATTTAAAGAAGAAGTAGATTCACCTGATGCGCCAGTTATATCCATTGCTTTGAGATTCCTACATTTGATGACTGTTAATGTCATTCTCCCAGCAGTAGGCAAATAACAAAGGGAAAACATGATCTCACCCAAATCTATGCTTTCCTGAAAAAGAAAAGCAATGATTAGAAATCTGACCAAACTGCCAACAATTCAGTTCAGATCATGCAAAAATTTAGATTATTATTATTTTTTTTAACATTGAGAGACTTCTTTTGCAGCCTCAGATGCTTTTGAAGACATCACAAAAGGTGTCCATCTCTATAAAAGATGGAAAGACTACCAACAGGATAATATTTTAGTGATGGGATGTAGAATTATTAAACTGAGAAATTAAAACAAAAGCATAGTCAAAACTTTCTGGATTCCTGATATGTTTGTGTTGAATTCACACAAATGAAAAGGTGCTGAATATAGAATGTCAAGTTCTGCTCTTGTGAAGACTCAAACTCCATCACCCCCAATTGAAAAAAATCTGGTGAGATATTTAGATCATACACATTTACATGCCTTTTACCCACTGGAATTTATGTAGGAGATTTATTTCTGCACACATGTATGCATATACAAAGTTTATCCTAAGTGCTTTGGAAAGATAAATGTGCTTGTAAAAGTTGCTAGCTTCATTGCTCTCACTGTGCTTTGAGGGGTTCTGTTCTAGAAGAAGAGCAAAGTAAAGAAGTAACACCTACAACTTTCCTGTCTCAACAGTAAATTTTTGGAGGATAATATACTCAGAAAGATGGATATGTCCATATGGTTCTTAATAATCTCACAAAAAAGATAGTTTCTATGTTGAGACAATATGCTGTGAATTCATGTGATATGATGTTGCTATACAGTTCAGATACTACAACACTTGAGAAACGTAATCTAAGAAAAAGATTCCATCAGTTCTTATTTTCTCTTTTCTCACAGTTATATAATTATTCCAATACCATAAAAGGTTAGTTGTTGAGATGTTAGTTATGTTCTAATTTGTTCCCATTCTTCAGAGATTTTAAATATACCCCAAAAAAAGTTCACAAAAAATTACATATTATAGCAACCCGGGATTTTTAAATATGAGCTTGTAAGGAAGCCTCTTCTATAAGGCAGCCACTCTCAAGTATGATCAGGTGATCTCAAAGGCCTTTTTTGACTACTACTTAAAAGCTTATTTTTAATTTCTCAGTTTCAATATTTTATCTGTCAAACCTACAGAGTACAAATTTGTTTGAGAACTGCTGGATTTATGGTACAGCCATTCCAGCATTGGAAGGCAAGCATGACATATGTTTAAATGATACATACTAAAATAATGACTGCTGTGTAGATGACAAATATATTGCTTATAGTCATGAGACAGACTGGGGCTTCTTTTTCACAGTTTTCAGCTGCTTCTATGAAGAGTTTTATTGACATCATTTGGGTTAATACTCTATCTAAATTGAAATAGGTAATTCAGAACTTTCTTGAGTAAAGATCGTCTTGTTCACATGCTTCAGGGTTTTGGGTTTTATGTGTATTTTTTATTCCCTGCATTGCAGACTTTAAATTGAAGAACGCAGTTTTAGAATAGCTTTAAATTCTTTGTTACACTGTTAATAAGATACTGACTTTTGTATAGGTTGTTCAATTCACATGTTCAGTCATTTTGCTGGGATTCTGTTCTGAGAATTAACAAACTGATAAGCATGTGAACATGCACTGTGGGCAAATTTCATGCTTGTCAGAATTTCAAGATTTCAAATTCCTCAGGATTTCAAAATGATTTAGCTCATTCAGTACACATAAGACAAATAAAGCTATTTGACATCTTAGCCCAACCAGAGTGCAGAATTTTGTGCCACTGAGTCCATTAACAAACTCACTTTTCTATCTCAGGAAATACAAATAAAACTTGAACAAATGAAGTGTAATAATTTTCAGTTATTTGTTAAAGTTCCAAGTGCTCTTTGTTATATTTTTTTTTGGTCATATTTGAAATCTGTTCTAAGCACAGCTTCTGTTACTAGCATTACTTTCTGCATTCAGAGTCTGATTGTTGTTCCTCATATCCATATGTCAAAGAGATCTCACTCTCTTATTTGAAAAGGAAACATAGATTCCTCCACACACAGTGCTTCAAAGTTTAAGGTCTATGTTGAGACAGGTGATGAAGATGGGTTGGATCATAAAACATAGTGGGCAGCTCAGAAAAGGGACTAATTCTTCCTTCTTTGGAGAGATGACTTGTGTAGGTGAACAGAAAAAAAATAATTTTTGCAAGATGGGAGTATGAACTTGAGTATTCTATTATTTATTTTTGAAGACAATTTGGATAGACACAGATTTGGTGAGCTCAAATGATAAACAAGACTACAAACGGGACTATTTAGCATTCAGCATGACTTAAAGACTTTAAAATAAGCATTGCACAAAATCCTTGCAAAACTCCATATGGTTACTCTACCATACTTTTTGAAGAGCAGAGCAAAGCATCTGTGCTTAACAAAATGGCAACCATTTAAGGCTTATGCTCAGTCCTTTTCCTTTCCATTCTGAACATCATGTACAGAAATATTGAAAAAGAGCTTGAAAAATCTAATGCAGTCAAACCTAGCGTTTTAGACCATGCAATGAATAAGCAAATGCCTTAGTGCAAAAGGAAATACTTGATCAACAAATCACAGGAAACAAATCACCACACAGCAGACTGTCCAAAGGGCAGATGTACTGAAGTTACCAGAGCTCTGTAACCTGTGTATTGAGTACTCAGTTTGAAGTGGTAAGGGATGGTTTTAAGACTGGGAAAAGGCTCTCTACCTCTCCACTGTTTATGCAGGCATTTTCGGACACCTATGACCTATACCTGGAAAAAATATGGCTTGTGCTGCCCTGAAATGTCTGATTTTCTTATTGTGCAACAACACTCATATTGGTCTAGGCACTATTTCAATAGATAGATTCTGCAGTAGACTAGTAGAATCTTGTCTATATTAAAAACATTTATGAGTCACTCATTGTAAGATCAAAGGACTAGAAATAAAATTAGTATTTACCCTGCACTAGTCTGTAGGCACCATTTAACACTCCTCCTGCTGGAGAGAACTGTCTGTCATAGACTGCCACCACAGACAGAGTTCCCAAGGCCCTCAAATTGAGTTAAAACACAACTTCTTTAAGAATCCTTTAAACAACTCTGATGATTTCACCATTTAAATTTAATTTGGTACTAGTTGTGGCATCCAATGTTTACTGAAAATTTTGGAGACAGTGCCTTTGGTTAGTAAGGAATAGGACTTTTACTCAGTTTCTACTCTGAGTATCTGCTGACATCAGTGGTCTTTCATAATACTTGAGTGAACCAACAATATCTTCTTAGGCCCTTTAAAAGTCATAGGGCAACTGGGGATTAAGATATTAAAATGCATCATTAAAGTAAATGTTATTTGGAAATCAATCACACAGTGTGAAGCCCCAACTTTACATACTTTAAAATATTCTTTTGAAGGACTAAGATTAAAATTATGCATATATATATATATATATATATATATATGATAGCATCAGAGACTGGGTATTGAGTAAAATGTCTGGGAAATCACCATTTCACCCCTACTTTTTTTGTTAACTTGAGCACTAGAGGTTCATTAATTTGGAGCTGAATACACAGTGTCAGACACAGATAATGAACAAAGTAAGGCCTAGCATTGAAACTTCTCATGGCAGTCTTTGTCTACCACATTGATTATCATGAGTAACATTTTTAAATGCCCTGGATCCTTAAGTATTGTTGATTTTAATGGAGATTTAAAAATAGGATTTATAAATTACTTCAGAATCCCAGGGCTCTGGAAAATGTGTATTTTTCTCACTTTATAATACACTAGATAAATAAGTTCACACATCATCTGACAGGAACCCTTCGATCAAATCAAATCTGAGGAAGCCAAGGCACAGATTGCCCTCAACAACCAGGTCTACATTTCAGTCCACATCAAGCAAAACACAACTCAGAAGACACAGGCCTGGACCTAGTGGTTGCCTTTCATGCAAATTTCTAACTATGGTTGGGACTGTCTTACATGTATCATATAGTCACTTAGAATTCCACATTACTTGGGTAACACTTGTGAAATTTTATTTCTTTCCTAGATCTATTCTGAGTTTTTCTTTTTCTTTTTAAATTAAACTTAGATTTGAAATAACAGCTAGCTTTACAGATGCTTGTAATGATTCCTCTCCCCACAACTTCCAATAACGGATGCAGAAAAAAACAGCATCGAGCACAGCTGCACTAAGGCAAAAGGAAGCATTTGCTGGTACTGCATATCTCTTCATTTATTTCCCTTTTGTGTACACAAGCCATCATACAGAACTAAGGAGCTGGAATGGTGGTAAGCACTATACTAGCTTCAGTTATCTTTATGGCTCCCAGTTTACCTCACTATCCAATCCATTTTCTGGTACAGCAATGCTGGAAACAAAGAAAAGACCAATTTCAAATGCATGTGTCAGCTATTCAGATGAACTTGAGGATTTTTTATGTACAGAATACAGATTCTTCAGATACCATATTTCTCATCCCACAAAGAACCAACACCTGCGTAGATGTGCTAATCATTATTTCCATTAGGTTTCCCAGGTTCTGTCCACATTCTCTGCTTTATGGGCTCTTGGGAAATCTGTCCAGGGGTTGTCAAAGTCAGAGAAAAGGTCCTTATTCTATGATTTTTGTTATTGTATCCAGTGGACACCAGGTGCTCACATTCTCACATGTGCCTGTAGAAGCCGCAGCATTTCTACAGAGGTTGTGCTCCCTGCTCACAATATGGATAAAGAGGGGAGGGGTGCGAGAGGAAGCTTGAAGCTCTTGAGAGAAGCATTAATTAGCCTGATCTGAGCTTTTAGAACTGTTGTTGATGGAGAAAGCTTTGCTGTCTCATACTCCAATTAAATTTCCCAGTTGTTTCCATTAAATTCAATAGAAGAGACAACTTTTAGCTAGGAACCTCTGTAAACTCAAACTGAGATCCTTCCATGTTCAGGGTAGTTTTTTCTCACACATCACTACCCATAACCATTAACTGAAGAGGAAGAATTATTTACTGTCAGTGTAAGAACTTCCATGGTTCTCCAAG